TTCAAACATTTCGTGATCGTTTTCACATTACCGTTCCACAATTCCTTCATCTATTACACCATTTGAGTAAAATGAGCAGCTTTTCGATGGTATTCTACTGTTATCGCACCATTCCTGAAAGCCAGAAACGGCAGAAGTGAAGTATTTGCAATTCAATAACATTCTGCCACGCAGGAAATTATAATGCGGTGGAATAGCATCCGAAATGAACATGGCTTGTTGACCATTTCACAATGGATCAAAAATTAATGCGGTAGACAGCCGATGAATAAGTTCGTAGGGAAAAACGAAACTAATGAACGCAGAAAAACAATTCTAAAACGTTTTTACGATCGCATAAATTCGTCGAGAATTAATGAAATTTATTACCGATAATGAGCATGAAACTTCATTTTGCCTTTTGTCCGATAACGAGCACTTTAAAGTCGTTTTGCACTTTGCCTTTAATGGCCGTAATCTGCACTTTCGAACGCAAACGTCTTTGTTGAAGTATTTCTTCACCGAATCCAAATAACCTACGATAAAATGTCGGGATATAGGTGGTTCTCTATTCTCTCATTTGCCACTGGACATCACGATGAAAGTGCAGCATTTAAGATAAAGTGTTTAGCATTCGCATTAAATTATTAACCGTATTTGATTAATGAGGAGCTCAGTTGGAAAAAATGGAAAAAAGACAATGGAAAAATTTCAGCTCAGTTGCTGATAAGCTCATTTGAATGAAACCACTAGCAAGAGACTGCTTGTTGCCTTCTCATTTCTTCATCAGCACCGAATTGAGCTAATATCGACGCGTTTGATGCTTTGGAGAAGTGTTTTGGTTCAGGAATGATGATTGTTTCAGGATCGCTCGAACTCAATGAAGCAAATCAATTACTGTATCGGACTCATTCTCGTCATAGCGATCTTTGCGCGTGGTAGTAATCAAGCTATGCAATCGCTTGTTCGCGAATTGCCAGAAAATGATGTGAGGTATGGCTAGATTGACTTTTGCGATCTATTAATTTTCTTCAATCCATCATTACTGGAGCAATGACTATCGCTAAACACTGCTCTAGCAATAAGACTGTTTTCGACTGATTCAGAGCTGTTTCTGAAGCACATTTTCGGTTCAGCTTACTTTTTATAGTGTGTGTGTGTGTTCATCAAATATGAAAAACTGCTAAATTAAGTAATGAGTAGCAGCCGATATGAACGAACTCGAATCGTTTCAGTGAATTGGCTAAACGATGGGGTTACTACGGATCGGCAACGGATCAACCGAATGTGGCCAAACCGTGGGGTGGTTATGGTCCCTACTGGAAATGGGACTTCAGAGGATGATTATTGTGTTTTGTTTTGATGATTTTCATCCGCGTTTAACACATCATATCAACAACGTTATTTCCGAGTAAAATTTGCTCTCATCGATCATAGAGTATTGTCATAACACTCCATAATTTCCTTGCGATGCTCGCAATCGCTACTGCACAGCAAATCACAGCGAATCTTTTACGGCATGACATTTTCTTAATTGATAATTT